TCTGTCACCTGGTCTGCTGAGAGCTCTGTTTGTGAAGCTGTCCTTCTTCTGTCGCTATGTACGTGTATGGTATATACTTCCCTCTACATGAACGTGTATGGTATATACTTCTCTCTACATGAACGTGTATGGTATATACTTCTCTCTACATGAACGTGTATGGTATATACTTCCCTCTACATGAACGTGTATGGTATATACTTCTCTCTACATGAACGTGTATGGTATATACTTCCCTCTACATGAACGTGTATGGCATATACTTCCCTCTACATGAACGTGTATGGTATATACTTCCCTCTACATGAACGTGTATGGTATATACTTCCCTCTACATGAACGTGTATGGTATATACTTCCCTCTACATGAACGTGTATGGTATATACTTCCCTCTACATGAACGTGTATGGTATATACTTCCCTCTACATGAACGTGTATGGTATATACTTCTCTCTACATGAACGTGTATGGTATATACTTCCTCTACATGAACGTGTATGGCATATACTTCTCTCTACATGAACGTGTATGGTATATACTTCCCTCTACATGAACGTGTATGGTATATACTTCCTCTACATGAACGTGTATGGTGTATACTTCTCTCTACATGAACGTGTATGGTATATACTTCTCTCTACATGAACGTGTATGGTATATACTTCCCTCTACATGAACGTGTATGGTATATACTTCCCTCTACATGAACGTGTATGGTATATACTTCTCTCTACATGAACGTGTATGGCATATACTTCCTCTACATGAACGTGTATGGTATATACTTCCTCTACATGAACGTGTATGGTGTATACTTCCTCTACATGAACGTGTATGGTATATACTTCCCTCTACATGAACGTGTATGGTATATACTTCCTCTACATGAACGTGTATGGTGTATACTTCCTCTACATGAACGTGTATGGTATATACTTCCTCTACATGAACGTGTATGGTATATACTTCCCTCTACATGAACGTGTATGGTATATATTTCTCTCTACATGAACGTGTATGGTATATACTTCTCTCTACATGAACGTGTATGGTATATACTTCCTCTACATGAACGTGTATGGTGTATACTTCCTCTACATGAACGTGTATGGTATATACTTCCTCTACATGAACGTGTATGGTATATACTTCTCTCTACATGAACGTGTATGGCATATACTTCTCTCTACATGAACGTGTATGGCATATACTTCCCTCTACATGAACGTGTATGGTATATACTTCTCTCTACATGAACGTGTATGGTATATACTTCCCTCTACATGAACGTGTATGGTATATACTTCTCTCTACATGAACGTGTATGGTATATACTTCCCTCTACATGAACGTGTATGGTATATACTTCCCTCTACATGAACGTGTATGGTATATACTTCCCTCTACATGAACGTGTATGGCATATACTTCTCTCTACATGAACGTGTATGGTATATACTTCCCTCTACATGAACGTGTATGGTATATACTTCTCTCTACATGAACGTGTATGGTATATACTTCTCTCTACATGAACGTGTATGGTATATACTTCCCTCTACATGAACGTGTATGGCATATACTTCTCTCTACATGAACGTGTATGGCATATACTTCCCTCTACATGAACGTGTATGGTATATACTTCTCTCTACATGAACGTGTATGGTATATACTTCCCTCTACATGAACGTGTATGGTATATACTTCTCTCTACATGAACGTGTATGGTATATACTTCCCTCTACATGAACGTGTATGGTATATACTTCCCTCTACATGAACGTGTATGGTATATACTTCCCTCTACATGAACGTGTATGGTATATACTTCCTCTACATGAACGTGTATGGCATATACTTCCCTCTACATGGAGGTATATGGTATATACTTCCCTCTACATGGAGGTATATGGCATATACTTCCCTCTACATGGAGGTATATGGTATATACTTCCCTCTACATGGAGGTATATGGCATATACTTCCCTCTACATGGAGGTATATGGCATATACTTCCCTCTACATGGAGGTATATGGTATATACTTCCCTCTACATGGAGGTATATGGCATATACTTCCCTCTACATGGAGGTATATGGTATATACTTCCCTCTACATACTTGTACATGGTTCATACTGCTGTCTACATACAATTCTGTACACATCTCCCATAAAACGCTATACATAGTCTCCATACAACACTGTAAGTCCCCATACGACACTGTAAGTCCCCATACAACACTGTAAGTCCCCATACAACACTGTAAGTCCCCATACAACACTGCAAGTCCCCATACAACACTGTAAGTCCCCATACAACACTGTAAGTCCCCATACAACACTGTAAGTCTCTATACAACTTGGCGCTTTTCCCCTTCATAGTTCCTTCCCTTCCATATAACTCTGTACACAGTTTCGAACCCTGTCCAAATCGCTTCCGAGTAGCAGGGCGAGCACTGTGCAAGTGTTGTACAACGTCAGTATTCTTGAGGTTGGTGGTCATGTTTGTCCAAATTAACATGCAGGAATTCGTACTGCTAAGGTAATTAACAACCCAGCTGGCTTGGACTACGTCACATATATACTTATTTATAAGCGAAATATGACTATAAGCAGTAAGTCATATATGTACTGTTTAATGCAAAAGCTGGTTGCAACCACTATATGAAGGGAAGTACAGTGTGTGTCAGGAACTAGCTGCCTGTTACGGCCCTACCGGGACGCAACCGGGTTCTTCTCTGATGGTAGTAGAGTTTGGGAATCCGGCCCCAAGTTAGTAGAGGCTTTCAAGGGGTGTGTTCCGTAATGCAAGTAAAACTAAAGGGGGAGGGATACAAATATTCCAATTTATATATATATTTCCACCAACATAATTTAAAGTCATAAAAGGGAATTATTACTACACAATGTGCAATGAGGTCTCCCTCTTTGAAGACGCTCAACACTCGGTGATGCTTCTACTGGGTAGCCCTGGTCTCTGCTTCCCTGGCTCACGATGAATCCACGATAACTCTACGACGAATCTACCCTGGCCACAGAGCCAGCCAAATCACAGTCCCACTGGGTGCCCCGTCGTGATGGCCTTCAACCACAATCCAGCCTATAGCTGGCAGGTACCGGTCAGCCTCGCTGTCAGGCCACTCCACAACTGATACTAGGGTTGCGAGCCCTAGGCAGGAGCCTCGTGTGACCCGCTGATCACTCTTCTCATTAAGCACCACAGTGGCTAGTCTCTTCCACCAGCCAGCCCCGGATAAGGCGATTCCCGACACTGCCACGCCTCAGGCAGGCTATTACACTCTCAATAGAGTTAGTCCAGGGGTGGCTCACAGCTTCTTCAAAGCAGACTCGTGAAGAGACCTTGGCTGCCTTGGGTAGACTGCTCCATCGTCCAACACAGCAGTCCCAGGTCGACTCTGCAATCAGGCACATCATGGGACGCTTCACTCACAAGCTTAGACAGAAACGTCCACCTCTTCACTCCATAGATTGCGTTCACTGTCTAAGCACTACCTCACCAGAGGTCAGCAGCGGCTACGTCATGAGCTGACTAGGACAGGAATCCAACACTTATTGCTGGTCTATCCTGTCACCACTAGATGGCGTCGTCCATTTGGAGTGGGTTTCGGGAGCGGACTCACAGATGGCGCTGTCGTCGCTGCTCCGTGCTCCGACGCTGGACTCGGGTCCGTAACCAACCCGTTCTCGCAAATTCGTATAGTCAATATTGACTTATTAAATAAGTGCATAGGTGACATACTAAACATAATAGATACCCTTAAAAAACTTCATAGAAAACACCGACCTTACCTAACCTACTTAGTATGTTAAGATAAGCATCTTATTGCTTCGTAATTACAATTATTACTTAACCTATACCTATAATAGGTTAAGTAATAATTGTAATTAAGAAGCAATAAGATGCTTATCTTAACATACTAAGTAGGTTAGGTAAGGTCGGTGTTTTCTATGAAGTTTTTTAAGGGTATCTATTATGTTTAGTATGTCACCTATGCACTTATTTAATAAGTCAATATTGACTATACGAATTTGCGAGAACGGGTTGCCGTAACACTGCCCTAGACTATATGAAGGGGAGTACAGTGTGTGTCAAGAACAAGCTGCCCTAGACTATATGAAGGGGAGTACAGTGTGTGTCAAGAACTAGCTGCCCTAGACTATATGAAGGGGGAGTACAGTGTGTGTCAAGAACTAGCTGCCTTAGACTATATGAAGGGAAGTACAGTGTGTGTCAAGAACTAGCTGCCCTAGACTATATGAAGGGAAGTACAGTGTGTGTCAAGAACTAGCTGCCCTAGACTATATGAAGGGGAGTACAGTGTGTGTCAAGAACTGGTTGTGTGGCCTGGCTGACTGGCTGTGTGGCCTGGCTGACTGGCTGTGTGGCCTGGCTGACTGGCTGTGTAGCCTGGCTGACTGGTTGTGTAGCCTGGCTGACTGGCTGTGTGGCCTGGCTGACTGGTTGTGTGGCCTGGCTGACTGGTTGCGTGGCCTGGCTGTGTAGCCTGGCTGACTGGCTGTGTAGCCTGGCTGACTGGCTGTGTAGCATGGCTGACTGGCTGTGTAGCCTGGCTGACTGTCTGTGTAGCCTGGCTGACTGGCTGTGTAGCCTGGCTGACTGGTTGTGTAGTCTGGCTGACTGGTTGTGTAGCCTGGCTGACTGGTTGTGTAGCCTGGCTGACTGGCTGTGTAGCCTGGCTGACTGGCTGTGTAGCCTGGCTGACTGGTTGTGTAGCCTGGCTGACTGGCTGTGTAGCCTGGATGACTGGTTGTGTAGCCTGGCTGACTGGCTGTGTAGCCTGGCTGACTGGTTGTGTAGCCTGGCTGACTGGTTGTGTGGCCTGGCTGACTGGCTGTGTAGCCTGGCTGACTGGCTGTGTAGCCTGGATGACTGGCTGAGCGAGGCTTACGATGTTCACAATACCTTGTCTCCTCTAAAGTGACTGTAATTAACAGTAATTCCTGTACTTGCAGACGAGGGAGCACCAGGAGCTGGCCAAGGTCACCAAGCACTACAGGGCGCACAAGAGGCGACGCCGGAGAAATGTTGTGAAAATTTAGTAAACAAACTATATCTTCCCCTTGCCAGTGGCGCGGGCAGTGGTCAGCCACCTTCCTCAACACCCACCAGCCGCCCCTGTAACACTTGAAGAATAGCTACCATGAGACTGACGCTAAGCATCATGAGACTGACACAACATTGGCCTCAAGTTCATCAAAGTTAATATATCCTCGTTGACCAGACCACACACTAGAAGTTGAAGGGACGACGACGTTTCGGTCCGTCCTGGACCATTCTCAAGTTGATTGTCAAGACAATCGACTTGAGAATGGTCCAGGACGGACCGAAACGTCGTCGTCCCTTCAACTTCTAGTGTGTGGTCTGGTCAACATACTTCAGCCATGTTATTGTGACTCATCGCCTGCTTAATATATCCTCATTTGTAATTTAAGATAGTAACTAGGAAGCATTTTAAAATAATGCACACGGAAGTCACAATAGAATGATATATCATATGAACAAATTCACAAGGGCCGTGATGAAGGTTCGAACCCACGCAGGGGATGTTCCCAGATGCGCCTTAGTAATATCACGCTATATATATCAGGCGATATATCACGCTATTGTGATTTCTGTTTGTATTGAAGTAAGGGAGTAGAGGGGGAACGGAGCCTTGGTGTATGGGGGGGGGGGGGGGTTGTGTGTGAAAACCCGACTGGGCTTCGGAGAAACTTCAGGATCCTCGTGAGGGGAGCAGCACTCCAGGTTGCAATTATTTTTACCATGTCTTGGTACAGCTGACTAAGGCGCAGGTGGGAACATCCCGGGCGTCGGTTCGAACCCTCATCACGGCCCTTGTGGATTTGTTCACTTTAAAATAATGTTTTAGTTTATACAGTGCTCCGGATATGATCCATTATTCTACATGTGCATTCATGACCACATTTTTAAATAAAAAAATTAAAGATAAATGTTTTAATTTGCATTGGCCGCCATTGCGACACATGCAACTAGGCATAATGAATGTGTAGATATTAAAAGACAGAGCAGGGAGCAGAGGTGCAGACACCTGGGTAGAGACAGTCACTGTCCTTGTGTGTTACAGTAACACCTGCTGCCTCTCCCCATATACCGCCAACCCTGTATTACGCTGCCAGAACTGGTTGTGCAGCACAATCGCTTCCCGTCTCCCTGATGTCATCAGTGTGGCGTCTGGGGACAGACGTGGACATGTCCTGCGTTACTGTCCATCTTCAAGCCAGACCTCCAGTACAACCCGCCCTCCTGATAACACGTCGCATTTTGACGTATACTCTCCCTAAGGCCAAAATTTATCGTACTAGAGAATGTTAGCGGCTCGCGACATTGGCATACTGTTCCGTTTTCTGTTTTGGGTCCTCTGGCAGGTTAGGATAAGGGCACTTTAGTACGTCAGTTTCTTGACGTTGGGGACCCCAAGGAGGACGGGCTGCACACGGCTCATTGTGCAGCCCGTTTTCCTGAGTTGCCGCAAAGGTGTAAATATGGGGTACTATAAAGCCCGAACCCAAGCCACCCACCTAACCTAAGTAACCGTTACACAGAAAACATGGAGGTTGGTCAGCCGCTACTTTACAGTGCCCAATATGTTCTCCCCTGGGGACTGTTGATGTAACATGCTGTGTGAGAGGTGAGGATGGTGTGCTGGGGTGGGGGTGTCATTCCGCTAGTGTCATGCCGCTAGTGTCATGCACCCTAGTGTCATGCCGCTAGTATCATGCACCCTAGTGTCATGCCGCTAGTGTCATGCACCCTAGTGTCATTCCGCTAGTGTCATTCCGCTAGTGTCATGCACCCTAGTTTCATGCTGCTAGTGTCATGCACCCTAGTGTCATGCCGCTAGTGTCATGCCGCTAGTGTCATGCACCCTAGTGTCATGCCGCTAGTGTCATGCACCCTAGTGTCATGCCGCTAGTGTCATGCCGCTAGTGTCATGCACCTAGTGTCATGTCCCTAGTGTCATGCCGCTAGTGTCAGACCGCTAGTGTCATGCACCTAGTGTCATGCCCCTAGTGCCTTGCCCCCTAGTGTCATGCCCCTAGTGTCATGCCCCCTAGTGTCGTGCCCCTTGTGTCATGCCCCTAGTGTCATGCCGCTAGTGTCATGCCCATAATGCCATGCCCCTAGTGTCATGCCGCTAGTATCATGCCGCTAGTGTCATGCCTCTAGTGTCATGCCGCTAGTGTCATGCCCCCTAGTGTCATGCCCCTAGTGTCATGCCGCTAGTGTCATGCCTCTAGTGTCATGCCCCTAGTGTCATGCCTCTAGTGTCATGCCCCTAGTGTCATGCCTCTAGTGTCATGCCTCTAGTGTCATGTCGCTAGTGTCATGCCCCTAGTGTCATGCCGCTAGTGTCATGCCGCTAGTGTCATGCCCTTAGTGTCATGCCGCTAGTGTCATGCCCCTAGTGTCATGCCGCTAGTGTCATGCCCCTAGTGTCATGCCGCTAGTGTCATGCCCCTAGTGTCATGCCGCTAGTGTCATGCCCCTAGTGTCATGCCCCTAGTGTCATGCCACTAGTGTCATGCCCCTAGTGTCATGCCTCTAGTGTCATGCCGCTAGTGTCATGCCGCTAGTGTCATGCCGCTAGTGTCATGCCCCTAGTGTCATGCCCCTAGTGTCATGCCGCTAGTGTCATGCCCCCTAGTGCCATGCCCCCTAGTGTCATGCCCCTAGTGCCATGCCCCTAGTGTCATGCCCCTAGTGTCAGGCCACTAATGTCATGCCGCTAGTGTCATGCCCCTAGTGTCATGCCGCTAGTGTCATGCCCCCTAGTGTCATGCCCCTAGTGTCATGCCGCTAGTGTCATGCCCCTAGTGTCATGCCGCTAGTGTCATGCCCCCTAGTGTCATGCCCCCTAGTGTCATGCCGCTAGTGTCATGCCCCTAGTGTCAAGCCGCTAGTGTCATGTTGCTAATATCATGTCCCTAGTGTCATGCACCTAGTGTCATGCCGCTAGTGTCATGCCCCTAGTGTCATGCTGCTAATATCATGTCCCTAGTGTCATTCCGGTAGTGTCAAGTCCCTAGTGTCATGCCTCTAGTGTCATGCCACTAATGTTATGTCCCTAGTGTCATGCCCCTAGTGTCATGCCACTAGTGTCATGCCAGTAGTGTCATGCCACTAATGTCATGCCGCTAATGTCATGCCACTAGTGTCATGCCACTAGTATCATGCTGCTAGTGTCATGCCACTAATATCATGTCACTAGTGTCATGCCCCTAGTGTCATGCCACTAATATCATGCTGCTAGTGTCATGCCACTAATATCATGCCACTAGTGTCATGCCCCTAGTGTCATGCCACTAATGTCATGCCACTAGTGTCATGCCTCTAGTGTTATCACGAGTGTCATACCCCTGGTGTTATCACACAACCAGTCCTCTTAAAAATAACGTCACTTTTGGCTAGTATGCGCGATATGGCTAAATTTGGACGTAATTTGAAATAAAATCGACTCCAAAAGTGACGTTCTGTTCCGTTTTCTGTTTGAGTCGTCCGGCGTACGCGCAGAGGTTATAAGAGGACACTTTAAATTAACGTTTTTCATAACGTTTTGAAACTTTATGAGAATTTCCTGCCCACCTAACCAATCCCTTAATATACTGTTGTTGAAAAAAAAATCCCAAATTTATTTTAATTTTCAAATTACATCCAAATTCGGCCATACGGGCAAACGGCCAAAAGCGACGTTCTTTTTAAGAGGACAGGTTTAGGTCATGCCACTAATATCATGTCCCCTAGTGTCATTCCGGTAGTGTCATGCCCCTAGTATTGCAACACGGGACGGGGGTAATGACTCTTGTCCACTATCCTGCTCGTAGATATCTTAACTCAAAGACCCGCGAGTCCTGCTCTTCCTGGTGACCTCTCAGCGACCTAGTCCACACTGCCCGCTTATTCTCCTCTCTCAAGCCCAGAGACTCAAGTCCTAGGCTAGTATTACTCCGCCTGGTTATTAATTACCGGCAGGGTTAATTAAACAAACTAAACTTTATGTCCTGGCCAACCCAAATGGGTGAATTCTTATTGGAACAGATGGTAATTCTATTAGGCATCTTGGAAAAAGCTATATCCATTTACAATATTGGCTGGTGATCTGAATTTATAATTAATGAACTAATAATATAGTGGGTGTGGTCTTGTCAGCCGCGTGACCTTGACTCTGGGGTAGGTCACACTACGCTTGGCGAGCTAGTCCCCCCTACTACACATGACCTCACTCTCTTTGAGATAGTATACGACCCTTGACCCTTATTCTACATACATACTTAAACCCAATTGGTTATTACTGTGATTGCCGAAATATCCATTACTTGTTGCATTAATACAAGAGTGACTGCCATTTTGTATTCTAAACGTGTTAATCCTTTAATTCCTGGCTAGTGACCTTTTCTGGCTTCTCAGGTAAACAGTTCCCCGTGACTCTTAGTTGTGTGGGACCGCGTGGTTCCATATAATGCCTAAGATCTGAGAATTTATTATTTCTATAACAAGCTATAGTTTGTTACAGTGTCGTACCCCTAGTGTCATGCTGCTAGTGTCATCACTAGTGTCATGCCACTAGTGTCCTCACTAGTATCATGCCGATTAGGGTAAATTATGACGCAAAGCGCCCCAAAGCCGAGGATAACCTCAGGGATCAAACTCGGTCACAGTCAAAAAGTATGTGTGATATCCATAGATTGGGATGGGCTGCGTCAGGGGGACGTTGTAGGTTATGTAGGTAAAAATGAATGGGACGTTGTGGGTCATGTAGGTAAAATGTATGTGTAAAGGTAAGAGGGGGAGGGTGAGATAAGTAATGGTGAGGTATACATCAAGAAGTTGATAGTGTGAGAGAGGGAGGGAGGAGGAGGGGGGGTGCTCCCACATGGTGTGGGACGGGCAGCGGCATGTGGGACGTTGTGGGTCATATAGAGTAAAAGTGTAAGTATAGGATCAGGTAAACAATAGTAGTAGATGAATATGTACGAGTATGTGCCGTAGAGTTAATCGTGAGTAGATTTATAGTTAATAACAGTATGTAGGATATGTTGAATGGCATAGAGGGGCCCCCTACCCTTGTGGGGGTAGGAGACCGAGCTTTAGATGGGTGGTTAGGGGTAGGGCATGTGAAGGAGGTTAAGGGGAGAGGGGAAGGGAGGGGAGCGGGCAGAAGCTTTGATAGCGCGGGTCTCTGTTTTATGTAGTGAAGTGTATATATTTTACCAATTCTC